AATATAACAAAAAAGAAACAAATTCACAGATGCAGAGAACAAACTAGTAATTAGCAGTGGGGAGAAGAGATGTAGGAGGGGAAATATAGAAGTAGAGGAGCAAGAGGTACAAACTATTAGGTATAAATTAAGCTACTAGGATATATTGTACAACATTGGGAATATAGCCAATATTTTATAATTTATAAAATAAAGAGTAGAACCTTTAAAAATTGTGAATCACCATATTGTACACCTATAAATTATATAACATTGTACAACAACTATCCTTCTATTAAAAATAAATAAATAAAAGACCCTGAACCAGGCAGTTGGTGACATTCAATCTGAGGAATAGATTCTTCTATTTCTGTCGCCATGAGCTGTAATGGCAAACTCCATGGCGCCTGGTCTCTGGCTATGGGCTGCTTACCCTATAGCATAATATTCTATTCCTATGAGTTCTATTTAGGTCCTTCCTGAGCATCTCAACCCAATGGACTCCTCCTCTTGTGTTCCCTATCCCTACCTACCTCCATACTCCCATCAGACATGCCAACCTCATTCCTGACTATTAGGAAAAAAGTAATACATATTCAGCATTCCCCATTTTGATGAACCAAAACCAACAGGATGTCATAATTTATAGAAAACTTTCACTTTCATTTTGTATTAACATTATTTTCTTCAGCAATATTTATTTTATGTCATCCATGTAAGACCATAAAGTTCATGTTCATTAAAGTGTCTGTCCCTGTAATATTGCTTCATTGTATTTATATTAATTTCTCTCTATCATCATTTTTGCTTTTTTTAAATGTGTGTGTATGTGCTGCATGTAAAGAGTGGAACAGAGACAAAGATAGAAATGAGAGAGAAACAGGGGAAAAGAGAGACAGAGACAAAAGAAGAGCATTGTCTTTGGATGACTCCTAAGGTGTTGATGTACCTGGAAAGTCAAGGATCTGAACACCAGTTCTTTTTATCTTAGGCCACATGAAACCTGGGGTTTCATGTGAGTCAGCAGCCACTGTTACATCTGATCATACTATTGATTTACACTCCAATGCTATATCTTTAGATGACACTTTTGCCCAGCAAAATAGTCCTTTTTCCTATCACGACATTTAACAAGCCTTGCCCTTGTCTATTTTCTTGATATATGAGTTTAGGCAGAATTACTAAAAATTATGTTTCAGAAAGGAAATAATTTCTCCTCTCATATCACACACTTCTGTTTATACTCTGCACATCATGCAGAAAATAGTTCACAAAACACCCCATGTCTGATGGCTGCTGACCAACTCCTCATGTTTGAAGTTCAGATCCTCCAGGAGGGATCTGCACACTGTTCACCACCTCAGAAGGACAGTCCTCAATGCACTGAGTCATTGCCTCCCTCTTGTATCACTGTTCCATATATCTGTGGCTGCATGTTTTTCCTTTGAAATTCCCAAAATGAATGTGCCCACTTACTCTATTTTTTC